CAGTTACAGTAACAGATCAACAATGAAAATCAGAACAAAATAGTAGTTTTTCTTACTACTGTAAAGTGTAGACAAATAAAAATTCCTCTATTGGGTTTAGGAATGGGGAGTATGGTGGAAGGTATAAGACTGCAAATTCAGGGTGCTCATGGAACCAATTGTGGACCAGAGCAGATCGATGGAAAGATACATTGTCCCAAACGACAATGTACTGCATGTGGTCCACTTGGTTTACAGTAAGCACCTGCGTGCTTCCACACCAGGTGGATGTGATTATCCAATTTGTTCATTAGTGTGGTCGTTGGCAAGCAGGGGCTTTGTAATGAGAAGGAAGTAACCTCACAATCCTTATCTGTGTCTAAGGTGTGATAATGCGTGTAGAGTCTTGCAAATCACTGTGTGTAATGTTTTGCAAAAAGTGTGAAGCTGAGTCTGTGCTTATTGTTGTGCAACTATGGACAGGTGTTTTGCTTCTTGTGTGTAAAGAGCTGTTAATTATGTGAAAATTTTAAGTTTAGTGTGTAAACAACTGTAAAAAACTGTTGGATTTGTTGGATGCGCTAAAATCATAAACATTCTCTGTTCTTTAGACCTGCAGTATCTGTAGCATGTCTAACAGTTTTTACAACACAAGCATTCTGCTTCTAAAGTGGTTCTCTGAATAGTATGGTGCCAAAGTTCAGTGTAAGGTCACCTAACTCCTGACCCCACTTCTCTGATAACATGAGCGCAGCTTCTGACTATGAGGAACACTCTGCTCAGAAGCCTCTGTATCATTACTCCAGCCAGTGCTAGCAGTCACGAGGCTTGTGTAAAGGCAAAGCCGTTCACATTGGCCTCACTATAAACAGGATCAACGTAGAGACGCTTGTCATTCAAGATAAAGCACTCCCTCTTTTCCTAATGTGAAAAAGGTGAAGGGAAAAAGGGTTACTACACACAGAACCTCAAATTGTCCTTCAAAGATGTGCTTCAGTGCTTCACGATGGACTGATGCTATCTACCTTATTGCCAACCTAAAAGGTCCAGCCTCTCAATGAGGTGTCAACCTTGTGATATCATTTGACAAGGTGCTGTACTGGCCAATCAGATTCTTGCAAATGCACATACCAGATAGAGTACTTTGTGATGTGAACAATGTTTACCTGGTGATCATCTCAGTAAAGATCACATGATTCTTACTGTGAAAACCTCCAAAGCTTTAACATTGACTCATAACACTATATCATAATACTCATAATATAAGAAACCACTGTGCAGTATTTTAGTGTCTGTAACACAGGGCTGTTTTTGGTACGCACAGTTTTCTAGCTTAGCAGACAAGACTACAATAGGTGTTCTTTAAAGATTCTGTATATGACATTCAGGATATTAATATAGATGCAAACAACTAGTGTCCAGACTAGACAATTAAACACTCTGTGTGTGTCGAAGACTCTCCTTCTTTGTAGTTGTAGATGCACATGCATGTTTAAATGAGTATACGCCATTTCCCGCTGTGAATGACATCTCGACCCGTGGTGACATAATGTTGTGTAATGCCCACCTTTTATTTCACCCCCATGTTAAGTCTGTTAGCTCTGTCAGGACTCTTGCCGTCATTAGCACTGTTTGCTCTGTTAGCACTGTTAAGTGCTAGCTGCAGGCTCAGCCACCTCCATGTTGCGAGCCGTGTGCAGGCAGTCCTGGCTCAGAATGAATCATAGACATGCTCTGAAAGCTGCATACTGCTCCTTTAAGGCAAAATAAGGCAAGGTCGCACACATAATGAGAATCAAAACTTGAAGTTGGTTTTGCGATTGATAGCAGTAATGCTATTACCTTGCTTAGCTAAAAACTAACATGTACGTCGTGCCCACATGCTCTCTCATGCCCACATGTCAGGTAATTGTAACTTATATTATACAATATGTACTATTAAACTTTTTAGTGCAGAGGGCCAAAGTTTCAGCCTGGAATTTTAGCTGACAACTTTGAAAATATATTTGACCTGAACTTAGTCTGACAAGCTTTGCAAGCTTTACATCTCATGAAAATGTAACATATTGCAAATCATCTTGCGAATGTACCACAGTGCATGCAGTCATCTTTTCTATCTTTGCCAGTTTAACCTCTAACCCCAGAGTTTGGAGAAAGCCCTGTACTGTAAATGTGTAGGTGAATACGAATAACGTGAATTAAATCTGTAATGATTTTTATTCCTCTTTACCTGTAAAAGCACTCTTTATAATGTGACTTGTTACATTATTTACAATCACAGACTAAACTCAGCTGCATTTATAAATGAGTCACTGTTTAAAATCATTCGATGGGAAATAGTAAATAAAAATCAATCTGAGAGAAACAGCATGAGGAACATATCTTTGAATTAATGCATTACATATCAACATACAACCTGACCTGTTATTTTTGCTCCGCTGTGTATCTGCTCCTACCGAGAGAATGTTTGGGCTCTTTCTGAGAATCAGTTGAGGCACAACACTTTACAGTCTGTTTCCATGGGAACGCCCACCCTTTGTTTTTCAGAAAGGGGTTAAAGTGCCTTTTTTCACTGCATGTTTTTTTTAGTTGAATAAATGTAATTTGTAGAGAAAATGGGTCAATGAAAAGTCAAGGAAGACAGTGCTGCGCAGTTGCGCAGTCTGTTTTAATTTGAATTGTAAAATTGTAAATAAGAGTCAAATGACATCCTGACCTTCCCTTCACACAGTGCGCAAGAAAAAGGAGAAGCTATTGAACTCATGTTTGCTGAATCTAACCTGAATTAAATCGTAGTTGTCTTTTATTTAACATCAGTGGTAGCCTGATCCATCCATCACCAAACAAAATTAAGGGGCTAAATACTGAAGTGTCAGTCTTAGACTCTGAAACAAGCTTTTATTTATTTGTTTTAAGTCACATGTTTGTGTGTAAGTAAAGACGGATGTCGGAGAAGAATTCATGGAATAAAAAACACGATATCTGTGGTTCTGCTGCATTGATTTTTTTATCCTTTAAAAAAAGTGCCATGCTAAATCAGCCGAGTCCTCTTCTAATGGTTGATAATACTTTTTGCTAGTAGAATTACTGATTTTTCTCTTTGTTGCTACATATTGATGTATCTGTTCCAGCCTTGTGTTGTTTATTTTGGATTAATCCGGATTAGGTCTTTCAAAGGAAAACATGTTTTTTTACTTATTCTATCCCCCTTACCTATGCATGTCAGGTTTATCTGCACAGAGACCATGTGTTCATGTGTATTGATTTGACCTGTCATTTGTTCTATGTGTTGCAGGTTGCCCTTGTGGGTGGCCAAGGGGATGGAGGCCACGAGGGCTGTGTACCTGGCTTCCAGGTCAAACACTACCAGGTGGCGTACAGCGGAGTTTTCCAGAAGGGTCAGGCACTCCTACAAGGTCAGTGAAAACGGACAGAGCAAACTCTTTGGAATTTAACTTTTTCTGCTTTGCTTTGATGTTTGGAAGCTGTGTTGTTCCCTCTCGCTTAAATTCTGCCATTCCACCACACAAATCTGCATGTGGGTGTGCAGACACACAAACACATTTAAACCCCTCAGTCTGTCTGCCTGGCTCCTGAGGATTTGAATAGCAGCATATCCAGTGGAGCTGAGCGGAGAAAAGCCAAGCTCCCTCCAGGTCAAGGTGATTGTGTGTGTGTGTGTGTGTGTGTGTGTGTTGTGTTGTTCGTCACATTCATTAGAATTCATGTGAATTCTTGTTACAAAGCGGAGATAGAACTGTTTGTGTCTTCCCACCACAAAGACAACAACAACAACAACAGCAACATAATTTGTGTCTGCAAATGAATTATTCTCCTTGATTGGATGATATTTACAAAAGTCCTCATTTTTTTCCCGCTTCTTTTGTTCCTTCCCTGAAGACAGCTTTGGGCTGCTCAGTTAAGCGTGCGTGTGTTGTGTGTGTGTTTGCCTTGCGACTATTTTGCTGGAGCTTTTCAGTCCCAGTACACCAGTTACCATGCTCGAGTCAGCGAAGCCTTCTAGGCCCCTCAGTCCCCAAAAGCCTCGGAGTTGTGTTTTCTTTTTTATGCAGAAATGTGTGTTTGATCTCAGCAGGTCTAGAATCAAAACATTAAAGATTTGAGAGGGAGTTGAGGGGAAGGTCACAGGGGTTCAGCATGAAGCGGTCGCTGTTGCGGAGGCTCAGTTCTGTCTCTGAGCCAGTCGGGAGGCAGCCTCGTCACCCTTTTGTCAACGCAGCGCCCAGTCACACTCCCCACAGACTCCTACATTGCAAAACTCAGTCCACAAAAGTCCAATCTCAACTCCATACTGCTGCCACAACTTATTGGTCCAGCCTGCTCCTCTGGGACCCTCCGGCAATGCCTATCTGCACAGCTCCACTCTGTCTCCACAGAGATCAGCAATAATGTCTGCTGGCTAGCAGTCTGCTCCTCTGGGGCTGTGAGTTATGGCTGCCGGCATGTCTCTCCACAGAGATCGACAGGGTGCAGCCAGCTATCGGTGGTTTCACTACAAGAACAAGGAAGTTTTTCACCAGTTCATTTGCTCAATAATTCATTCATTTTTTCACTGAGTTGTTGTTGTATGTGAACAATATGATGAAATACAATGGAAATATGTAAATTCAAAAGGGAATAATTTATAGTTTGTTAATGCAGTCTGTCATTTATTGTGGAACTTGTTTTCATTCCACTCTCATTATTCAGCCACTTCTTTATTTATTTCATCATCCCACTGTGTTGCTCTCCGCATTACGAGGCTACATTGGTGGAATATCATTACCTGCTTCAGAGACATGCACATAATGTGCTGTATCTCTATACACAGGAGCAACACATTTACTTTTATGGCTGGACAGTCATACAGCGCTTGTAGAGGTATTCTTGTATGGCACAACCCTTTTTAAGTGGTACTCCTCTGACAGACAGCTTTTCCAAACTGAAAATACATAATTTCCTATCTAGACAGCAAAATATGACAAATCTGAGCATTTTCTTCTTCAATCTTCTTTTTCGGCTTTTTTTTGTGTGTTTGATTCGGTCAGCCAGTGAGGCATTTTGTCATCTGGAGGTTCAGTGGCGCGTGTAGTAGGAGACAGAACTCAGTTCTGCTTTAGTGCTCTGCTCTGGGACGACAGAGTGGTTCTATTACCTTGAATATGCTCCTGTCAGCAGAAACACCTCTCACCATGGGGGGTCCCACTGCTCACAAGTTATGGACAGAGGCATAGGCATGCCAGTGCTCACACACGTACACTTACACACATATGCACATACAGTATCAACATGAATGTATGTCGTGCTCAGAGCGGATTTTCAAGATACACACGTGGATGAAAACTTGCTTGCATGTTGTGAAGTGCGTTGTGTTGTTTTTGATTTATAGCTGTACAAAATTGCACAACAGAGCTGCTATATGGGTTTTGATCATTTTAAGTGTCTCTTAAAAATTCAGAGCACTTGCACAAACAATGCCTCAGCAGGTACTGAAGCTGAACAGCATGCCAAAAAACAATAAGAGCATGAGAAAATCAACACAGGAGAGATATGCACAAAGGAAACAAATAAGGCACATGATGTTAGCATTCAAGTAAAAGGAGTGCAATTCATGATGATGTCAGTGACTGCTCTATAGTACTTGGCTGGATGGATCAATTGCAAGTGTGTTAGCTTCGTAACAGTGATCAAAGTGATATAACGGTATGTGTACATGTCTGTTTTTGCGCACTGTTTACAGCCTGTGTGTGATTTTTTAAGAAGAGTGAAAAGCCATTTATCAGAGCAAATAATTGAGTGCATTCACCAATATGTATGTTAGTGTTGATACTCTTCTACCTTCCATCCATTTTTGTTAAATTTGAACAAATTGTCTACTGAGTGTGAGCGTGATTCATAATGAGTGCCAGAGGCTGCAGCCAGGCCCAGTGACACATGCAGATTTATGTAAATTCTGCTCAGCCCTGTGCCACCTGCTGTAGACCTCCCTGTGTAATTACCAGTGGAGGGGCGGTCTGTCAGCGAGAGATACCTGTTGGCGCAGACCCGGGTTCAAGGACATCCATCTCGTCTAATGGCCATATTGGGGAAACTCATACACATACAGTGTGCAAACGTTCAGTCTTTCTCTGGCTTTCCCCACTCTTGGTGCTCCTCCTGTTGTGTTTGTCACTACATCACTACTATTGAAAATTTCCTTTCTCTGGCTCGTGGTTTCACCACTTGTCTCCCTGTTTTGTTTGTCCCCCATTCACTCCACTTCTCCTTTTACTCAACTGATCACTGCTTACATGAAAAATAGATGCATGTGAAAATAGAAATGTAAGAGCAAATAGAAGAGGGTAGGTCAAGATCTCTCTTTTTCAGCCTGACCTCAGATGACTCATAATTTCAGACAGTGTAAATGTTTTCATCCATAGATGGCTCATGTACCTTACACAGTCTTTAATAGAAATGGTTCTCCAACCCTGCTAAATGACATGATTTGACTGAGCTGTGTCGATGGTGTCATCTTTTAATCAGTAAAACTGACCTCATTTGAGGTTAACCATTTATCCACTTCTACTTTTGCTCCTGAAACCATCAATGTTTTTCTCGTGTAAAATCACTTTCATCCAAATATCTGTATGTGATTTAAAGGATTACACACACAAAAAAACTCACAAAAATCTGTACATCTGCACTGCTAGATTGAAGTGCTGCACAATTAACCCCGCATGCCTACGGCCTACAGCTCAATTTGAAAAACCATTGTGAACAAAGCGGAAATTAATTTCAAAATATAAAAGGCTTAATAGAAAAGATTGGAAATTGCTTTTTCACCAAGGAGTTGAGTTTATTCAGATGTAAGAGATGTTTGACCCGATGGTGAGGACTGCCATTTCTGCTGAATAATGAATAAAATGAAAAATGGACTCCAATTTATGAAATAACAGTGCTCAACAAAGTTGATCTTTTATTTGATGTTAATGCAAATCATCCTATGTCTCATTGTAGCGGTAGCCATCGCTGTGAGAACACAGTCTGTAGATGCATAGAAAACAAACTGTTCTTCTGAAAGACCCATGCCTTTAGATCGAAGGAGGAGTTCGAGTGTGGGCTTCACCCCCATATATTCAACAAAAAGAATCCCCATGTTTTTTTTTCCCAAATACCATGCGATGTCTCCACAGGGTCGAGACGCATTAAAGAGGCCAGGTGGTGAATGACATTTGCTGAAGGATAAATTAGGTTTTCAGTCCTGAAAAGTTACTTTATTCCTCTTTCTCTCAGTGGGTTCTGCCATGATGCCGAGAAATACAGCAATGAGATGTATTGATTTTGAGATGGTGTTATAGCTCACCTCTGTTTTGCAAGCTGTTTGTTTCTTCCCTTGCTGCTGCCCTCTCAGAGGTGGCAGTAAAGTTGATGCAGTTTTCTGTCACCAACCTGGCAGGCTGTCAGAAATAATGGCATTTTTATAATATCAGTGATGCTGTTAGTGTGCAGAAACTGGACTTCTTCATGAACATTTATAACCAGCGGTATGTCTTTTTCCAAAAGGCCATCATAGGAAGACATTATGTTCTGTTAATTTATGCAAACCCTAGGTGGAACTATGTTTTTGATTTTATGGTGCGCTGGGAAGCTATAGGGCATGCCACGATGACAGCCAATAAAATGTGGAGAAGAAATGAGAAGAGCCACCTTATCTATATCCTGCAGAGCAAGACCATGGCTCTGTGAGGCTTTTCTACAATCCCACCACCAAACATGATTACTCCTAAAAACATGGCAGCCTTTAGCTGTCTCTGTAGCATCGCTCACATCCCTTAATTAAGCTTTCCTTAAGATGTCACTTAAAAAATATATATATATATGTGGAGGAGATGGAACTCTCCAGGCTTGGCACTTCAAGCTGTAGGACTTCCACTTTATGTTGGGCAGGAGTCTGTGAACGTGGAGCTCTCCTGGCTGGCACAAGGCCCAAGGCATATTAACCGCATTGAGCTCCAAAGACCTCCTGGCTGGCACGCTCCTTGTCTCCCGCTCGCATTGCCTTAGACTTTATCATCAAGGCAATTTAAAAGTACTTGAATTCTGATATAGCCTAGTGGTTTTAGATAAATTGGACAAATGGAACAGCTCTCTCATCTGTTTTATTTTTGCTCCTCTCCTCCCTGGCTCTGCTTTCTAAGTTTAGGTGATAAAGTTTGCTGTCCTTCCTGCTCCGAGCACACAATAATGTTCAGGGAATATGATGCACCACAAACTCACACACACATACTACACACACTAAGGACGTGTTTATCATTCATCAAATTCTCCATCATGCAGGATATGAAAGGTGAGTTTTGTGATTTATTTGTTGCTTTAAAGGTTGCTCCCTTCCTGCAGCTACACTTCATTCAAATGTATCTGTTGCTCATGCAGAGAT